TAATAAATTTAATCTAAGTTCATAAATTCGTAAGATACACTTAAAATATAAAACACAAAGTTTATGTACTTATTATCTTTACACCTGATCACTTACTTCCACCAATCCCATAAAAAACATTAAAAGATAACAATATAATGATTAATTATTGTTATGTGCTGCAAACTTTTTTGCGTTATGAACAATAGACCATGAAGAAACATTACAACTAGACATATTAAAAACATAATGCAACTAACAAACGGGCACTTTGACCGTGTAATTGCTAATTAGGCACAGAGTAAGTAGCTGTCACAAGGCTAACTTCATTCGCAACACGTTGTATGTGTGTGTGTGTGTGTGTGTGTGAGTGTGTGTGTGTAAAAGTATACAGGGTGGTTCAAAAACGTTGAACACTTGAATTGAAAATTATTATTGAGATAAATTAACTTTTAATTTTAAATAACTAAGTCAAATACAAAAATGATATTTCAATTATTGTAAATTCTGCACACCTCAGTGTTTTTGGCTAAAACGTTGAACGTGACTCGTTCAAGGAGTTTATAGTGTATATAAACTCCTTGAACGATAACGTCATAGTCATAAATCAAGTACATATATATGTTCATATATACATATATGGGCACACAAATAACTTTGACATTTATTTAAGACCACGAATTTTATGTAAGAGGCACTTTTAGTGGTTAAGCCCAACTGCTACTGGGGTTTACCAGTTATTGGTTTTCTATTTCGAAACTTCTAATCGTTGCCTACGCTGGACTGGGTTGCTCTGAACTCCGCTCTAGTACACTGTGTGTTCTGGGTTGGTGATTTAGGTTTACGTTACCAACTATCATACAGAGATCCATTCTACACCTTAAAGAAAGACGAGGTGCAAAGTTGTGTGCGTTAGGATATTACTATACTAATATTATAAAGAGATAAAATTAGTAAGTTTGTATGTAGGGGGTAATCTTTGGTACCGCTGGTCGGATTTCCAAAATTCTTTCACTGATAGATAGCTAAAATGTTCCTGAGTGCTATAGGGTAAAACATCACGATACGATTAAATGGAGTCGAGCAGCGGGTGCCGTAAAACCGCGCGAGAGTAGCTAGTTTATTAATACACAGACCACTACAACACTCAATTGCTTACTTTTTAAAAAAAAATGTAATTACATGAAAATAATGCACATAGGCCTAAAATATGGACAATAGCCATTATTAAAAATATTGTTGAATAATTAATCAATACATTACTGTCCAATACACCAAAAATATAAATTATAATTGAGACTAATCTTTGCCGCTTCACTGATTTCAATCGACGACCTTGGTTGTACTAAAGTTGACACATGACATACTTAGTACATGCTTTAGGAGGCTGTATACTTATATTAAAGGAGGTCACTTCTACGAACTACAAAAAATACACAAGCTTTATTTAAGAAAACTTTTGAATAAAATCTACTTAGAAAATGAGAATTTTATGTTTATTTACCTGCATATCTGTTGTAGGAGAAAAAATAAATAAAAAACAATTAACAATTAATATTTCTTTTGCATCAAGTGTTCATGTGATATTTTATTTAAGTATTTTATCATTAAACATTCAAGACGCATTGAATGACTAATGTCTACAGATATTCAAAGAAGAGTGCATCCCAAAATGTCGTTTACAGAATTTTAAGTAGCATACAGAGCATTTATTTTAGTACAAAAAATCTGTTTATTTAATGTTATTTATCCTGCATTCCAAGAAAATATATTAATGTATATAATAAAGCTTTTTGTAAACAAATATTTTGTGTGATAAATAGTGTATCAATATATTATATACATATTTAATATTCTGTCTTAAGGCTACTCATATTTTTAACATGTGTTATCATACACGTAGATGACACATGTAAACAAACATACATAATTATATGTATAACTTATAACTTATTAAATGTAAGTCTACAGTAAACAAAAGCACAAATTTACTCGGAATAGTAGAGATAAAATCAAATTACAATACAATGATTGTGCAAGCAGCGCGTTGAACTCTTTTGTATGGACGGTTTTAGTTAGCAATTGTTATAAAATTTCAACGCTTATAACGAACAATTACGGATTATTACCATGATATTACTTAATCTTAATCTTGCGATTAACATTGTAATCTTGAGAACACGATCTCAGTTGTTCATATCAAACTACAAAAACTAGTATAAACTGACCTCTCTTTGCAAAAAAAGGTTGCACATTGCGAGGTCATTGTATACTGTTTATGTAGTCATTGATACACTAAAAAGTATTTGTTGCATACACGATATCTTTACTCACGAATGTTGTGTTGAATATAAAAAATACGTTTTAATTTCTTTAATTTGTATGTATTATTAGTTTATGTAAGGTTATATTGCTATTGAATTTGTTTAAATTCATACATTATTATATTGAGTCTTTGTTTTAGTCTATAAAAATTTTGCTGCTTGCGCTCACCGTTTTTACTCATCTCTGCATCACCCAAAGGTCAGACTGGTAGATAATGCCTACGGCATTAAGTCCGCCTATGTACAGAAATTTGTGTGCATAAAGCTTAATAAATAAATAAATAAATAAATAAATGCCCTAACCTATATTTTTATTCAATCCCAATGATTTCATGTAAAGAATTCTCTGAATTAAACTCATAATATTTTTTTTTTTTTATTAAAACTTCAGGTTCTTATATTTTTTATATATAACAATATACATAAATATAATACATAGAATTATATTAATTCAACAATGATCACTTCAGATGACCTTGAAACTGATACTAAAGTTCGCCCAGACATCGTCTAAAGCTTTGTTAATCACACGTCTCAATCACAATCCCCATTAACATTTCATAACGACATAAATCACCAGGCCGGCCCAAATTCATTATATATTTTTTAAATGTCGTTCAGCAGGTGGGCCTTGAGTTTCGTACAAACGTTCTCAATTCCGGCTCCCTTTCCAATCGGTTGGGTAACTGGCTGCAGGAAACAGCTCTATTTTATACAATTATGATCGAATCATGTATTTAATTAATATTTCATATGCCTACTGTTAATTGAAAATGTTTGTGCTACTGTAATAATTATGATGTTAGTGTGTGCTTAACTTAGGAAACTGTTGCTTTTTTTTTGAGGTGTGTCATAAATGTAATTTCAGAGGTATTACAAATAATATTTTCAGTTGTAATTTCAAATGATCTTTGATGTACCTTAGCAGATGAGAAGAATGATGAAGTTGTAGCTAGAGGACTTGTAGTATCAGTACCTATGACACAATTCTCTCTTTATATGGAAAAAAACAAAATCTAACTTCAATTTAGATAGTATTTGATTGGCACGTGTAGATCAAACAACTCAGAGACTTCAAGGCCACACTACGTGTTTCGTATTTTTTTAAATACTTTTGTATATTATATCCCATGTAATACGGGGCAAGTCTATGTAAAACTAAATCTGTTTCTCAATAGGCTACTATAAAAAGTAATACTGCAATAAGCCCATACATTTTCCACAAGCGATAGTAAACATAAACTTGATATTTATGTAATTAAAATTCGGGTTAATGTATCGTGCGTGCAGTCAGATATAACTGCTATTCGTGTCAAGAATTTGGACAAAAAAACTCACAAGAATGTTAACATAACTTGTCGTAGTAACTTACATAACAATTCAAATGTTAGGTAAAGATGATATTGGAGATTGTCGTCATTTGAAAATGTGTCTTATGCATATTGATTTAAAAAACTTTTGCGTTTGTGTATTGTTGCAAAATAACTTAGCACTATTGTTTTTTTTATTCGTCAATTCATTCATGATATATACATAGATCACGCAACCTCTTTCTTTCAATGATTCAATGATCAATGCCTTGGGCAGTCTAAGGGAAAAAAAAAATTAGGTCAAAATATTTCTAATTACTCTTCGAAATAACAATTCGCGTTTATAAGTAAGTAAAACCCTTTTGGGGAATAATTGCATAGAATTCAATGAACAATTTCTAAATTCTAAGATAGTTTAAAATTTGATTTTAATTTCATTCGGATAAAATGTAGCTTCATTATTTTATTACCGATATTCGCTTATATAACTCTTGCCCGTTCATCAAATAAACATTTCCTCATGACATCGATTTTTAAAGAAATTGTTGAATTTTTTCGGCAATATTTTACAAAATACATTTCTATGTATCTTATTGACATTTAAGTTGTAACACCTGGGCAGTCTGTCTAGTATTACCAATGTGTGAATAGCTCATTTGTTACGAAGCCAAACGAGTTCGTCTAGTTTGGCGAAATGATACTGTCCATACGCGAAAAGTTAATCATTTGGAGCTAATAATAATTACCTGTAGACAGGTTAAGTAAATAAGTGTTTTGTTCTAATTTGTTAGATACAAACTGGTTTACTTTATTTGACTTCATGCAGATTTAATTTTTATTTATTTATAGAAGCGAAAATCGATGAAATAATGAGAAGGCACTTTTAATTATTTTACAATTGGTAGTTAGATGTCGTTGGAGTATATTTTGTAAAAGATCATAGCGGCATGGGCCTGTATTTTTCTTATCAACGTGATTCTTCCTTGTTCGTTTTGAACGATTAACCTAAACTGATTGGTGGAAAATCATGTTTCATTGTAACTATAGTGTCTAAATAAAGCAACTTGTCTTTGTAATGACAAGGGTATAATTAACTGCAGTCATTTGTTCTGTAGGATAATGTTTTTCAATGATAGTGTTCAATTATCGAGTGACAAAGAAATGTAGCATTTACTACTTTTATAAACATGAAAAAAAAAAATTGTTTTGATAAGATTTTCAAACAAATAGTTACCTAGTAGGTAATTGCCTTAAATTATAACTAGCCTTTCATAACATTGATAAAAGTTAAGAGATATATACCAAATCACTATTAAGGACCCAGATCGCTACAATTTAGCTTCACCTTGCTAATCTACCTAAATTATTTATATTTGAAAAAACTTACCGTAAGCCACGCAGGCGAATAGAATCGCGAACTGTGCACTACTCCTCATGTTTGCTTGTCTATCTGTGTGTCGTGACGTGTGCGCGTCGTACTCGGCCCGGTAGCACTGGCGACGCGCGCGCAGACGGCCAACAGCCCGCCGAACTCGGTTTGGTGGCGGTATCTATAGTGCAGATGTGATTTTATTTGCTTAGACTAATGTTTTCAAGTAACGATCATTGTGTAACGTTTTAAGAGGTGTTCTTTTTATTGTTAGACGGTATTACAATGTGTTTGATACAACTATGTCATTGTTAATACGAATACTACTAATGCTACTCTATTTTTTGATATCCATGTATTCACAATATATTCATGCGTACCTATATTACACTCCAAAGGCACCATTTAAAATATTAGAAGAATAAGGTTTTCTGTGTTAATAAATGCTGCCTTTCAATTTTAAATATTTAAATAAAAATATTTTTTAATAAGTGCCAAAAGCACGAGGTAACATACTTATAAAATTTTATCTTCTAGGTTTGCATTACCAATACTATGAATACAGCACCTGTCAGTATTGGTCTCAAGTCACCTCTTACGAAAACGGCCATATACCTCACGCGGCGTGCTTTGAGTGACAATACATGGACACCACACGACTGGAAGTGATAGCAATTAATCGAAAATTAAACTTTAATCTGTTGCGCAAAGTCTTGAGAGAAACTTACTGGCCGTCTCTGACAGGAATATCTTGCATATAATACATGTTAATTAAGATGGCAATAAAGAGATTATTTGTGTACTAGGTACTGTATAGATTACATCGTTCGTTTTATCGTTGAATAAATGAATTAAATAAGTATTAGAAGTAATAAAACTGCGTATGTAATATGTTATATAGAGAAGTGTGGAAGAGCCACTCGACCAGAGTGATACCATGGTTTTACAGAAAACCGGCATGAAATCACGCTTGCGCTTTGCCTATCTTTCCTCTTCCTCTCCCATTTCTTATGTCCCATCCCCCTAATTCAAATTCTCAAAATCCTAACCTCAAGAAAACGGCAACATATTAGGTATCACTTCTGACTCATCATTAGGTGATTCATGTGAGTAGTTATGGTACAGAAAACCAAGCAGAACCAAGAAAAAGGCAGTGGCAGTTTTCTTTACCATTTTCGTCCACTAATATTGATGTCATCAATATCATCAATGACGTCCACAACAAATCCTTTTTCTATAACGTCAGAAAGCCGTGGGCAGCAACCTAACCATTGGCACTCTGCGATTTTTATATTGGCTTTATATTGGGATTTGTGATTCTTACTTGTGTCAGTTACTCAAATATTAGGTTTCTTTGTTAGAGATAAATCATCAAACGACTCCTCTCGCGAGTGTCAGACTCTTACTGACTAAAAACTCCACTGTTCCTTCTCTTGCTCCAGGCTGAGGCCACGGTACTTCATTGTGCTTGCTCCGCAACCCAGGCTGATAATATGAGAAGGCAAGGAATGACAAGATTGCTTAGAAATCACAACAACATTCCGATGATTACTAACCGAATTAAAATTACCATAATACTACAAGTTCATGTTTTGTCAAATGCTAAGCCTTATTTAATGACACTCTGCTCTACTGCAAATAGATCTGACCTTTAATTTAATTAAATGATTTGCCGTTCAATAAGATTTAAAATGCGCTGACCGAGGCTTGTTTGGAATTCAGTTATAAATAAAATTTCATATGAATAATAAATTTTTGTATTTGGTTTTTAGCATTTTTATTTCGAATATCGTATTAAGGAGTAAATGTACATCATGGAATACTTGATTTTGCCAATGTTTTTTGGCCGAATTCATGAAATTTTGTGGTCTTTCCCATTGAAACCAGGAATCAGTTCAGCATTAAATTAAATCATTAAATTGATGTCAATGTCTGTCAACTTTCGAAATTTCCTTGAATCTGTATAATGGTTGTTTTATATTTTCTTTTGGGCTAACTACAGGAATATTATAAGAAGACTAGAGCCTATGGCCGTCAAAGTCATTTATCCATATGTTAATTTACAAACAATATAGATTGGTTTGTAAACGTTTTAATATGTTTATGTAGATTAGTCCCCACTAGAGTTGGTCACCTTATAGGATTACTGTCTTGAGTTCTTTTTTACAATAATTTCAGAAGAATACACTCAAATTTTATGAAAAAATAATTGTGAATCGGACATAATGTTTCAGAAATCACATTCTCGACATACCACTGCCGATAGCCGCTATACGCTAACTGTACTGTTAAAATGTGATATGTTTATTGTTTCAGGGGTTCTAAATTCAAAAACGAATTCAGTTCAACAATATATCTTTGCTCCTATTAGGTTTTCACAGTTGAACGTGTTTAGTGGACAGCGGAACGTTTTGCAAGTCTCAACGCTGCGAGCTGTTTAGTTTCGAAATCACTTTTCTTTATGTTAATTTTATTATTACTCTGTTTATATATATTAATATTTAAAACAAAGCTTTTTGTTGTCAAATGTTGTAAGAGATAAACTGACCCTTTAAATATCAATAGGAACCATGGATTTTTTTATACATGACGTTATACGGCTCAGATTTTTTATTGTTATCGAATAATGTTATTAATAACTTCTGCATTAACTTTGCCCTCGTTATTCGGAGAAATATTTCCTTTTATTTCAGACCAAAATCTATGTTTGCACCAATTTTCTTCAAAATCCTATCAATAGTTTCACGTAAACGAGATACAAACATCCACCCATCCATACTTACCAACTTTTGGGTTTATAATATCAGTAGAATACTTTAAACCTAGAAGTTTTTTTTCCAGTCATTTGATGATTTTCCACAAACAAAACCAGAGGACTTACTAGGTCAGTAGGTCGTGTACAATTGTCATAAGTATAAGTAAATACCTTTATTTTTCCTTGTCTGCAATAATACAGAAAGAACTATAGATTTGTGTAATAAAACCATATTGCGCCAGCCATTTACGTTACTAGGCCTAACAGAATGCCGGAACTAAAATGGGCAATACACACAATTTATACAGTACTGGTCTCATTTCGAAAACTTCTAAATTAATACGTTCACTGTTTCGGAATACAGGTACTTAGGCAAAGTATCTAACGGGTTATCAGTCTAAAAGACAGGGTAGAAAACTTTGACAAGGTAAATAGTATTTCGTTAGCATAAAAACCGTAGTTGTTTGAAACGTTAACACTATAACCTGCTTCAGAGTGCTTGTGAACGCATGCGCAATGACGGATCTCTTAGCAGGAGAAGGAACGTCTTTTTAATCAGTAAGAGTCTGAAACTTCCCTCTTGCCCTACCCAGAGTGGGAGAAGTTAAGGGGCAATATTAACCCCTTTAAATAATGGATGCAATTGTGACGATTGAGTCTCTCAAGGACTCTTGGTTTCGATACCTAATTCAGACAAGTATATGCACAATAGGACTATAGCTCCGGTTTTCGAAAGGTATCATGCAACATTCGCGTAAAGCACGCAGTGAAAAATTTTGCCCAGTACATGACCTATTACTTGAAACTCATAACATGATTAGTGACATACTAGCTTGAACTTCTGACATTCTTCATAAGCACCCCCTTTCTCATTAAGCAATCGCTCTGGTAACCAGTCGACCACTGAGATTGTCGATAGATCCCTTAATTAAAGTAGTATTATATAATGCAACCAGTTATAACTTATAATAAAGAACTAAAAGATACAATTCACTTTAATGTCTTTATTCACGTACAAAACTAAGTCAATCACTATCTGCAAAAAAACAAGATCAATTAATCGATCGCGTATTGTTGGCAAGTTGCGTTTGCGTATCTACAAATTGGTCACGATCCGAGTCCCCCTCAAACAAAAACTTGACGTTATCTGTTATCAGCCGCTCCACTAGTTATGTTGTAACTTGTGGCCGCGAGTTAAGAAATGAATGGAGAAGGTAATTTAAAATAACTTGCCTTAATTGTGACTGCCAAGGGACGGATATTGAATTCTGTTATTGGATCTTGTGTAAAGTTTTATTAGGTACTTTTATATGAAAGAACAGGACAGTCTGATTACCTAATGTTAAGGGATTGGCGCCACCAGCACCGCATCGCCTGCATTACATGCAGCAGCATCGTCATAGGAGTTGCAATTAATATTTGACTGCACAGTTGGCGCGGTGGCTGCCGCGCAACGGGTCGCGGGTTCGATTCCCGCACGGAACAACTCTTTGTGTGATCCACAAATTGTTGTTCCGGGTCTGGGTGTGGTGTGTATGTGGAATTGTATGTTAGTAAACGCACCCACGACACACGAGAAAATTCTAGTGTGGGGCAAAGTTTAAAAAAAAAATCCTTTTTTTTAGATATTTCGATTTCCTTTTTAGTAGTAGCATAGTCTGAAGTTTTACCTGGTTTACGGCTACAGGCTCACATAAAGATGGAACTTATTTTAAATATTCTCTTTATGTGATTTTCAATAATCGTGAATTATTTTGCAAGTAAAGTAAATAAGGAAGGTTGTTTAGTGACATCACAAGTATTTGTCTTAACGATTATAGAGGGGTTGTCAGTGTTATGCAATGTTTACTCAAAGCCTACGCAGTTGCTACGCATTGACTACGTACTGGCTACGTAGCGACTACGCCGTAATACCGTTGAGAAAATATTTAAAAATGTTGTTTTTATAATAGACATCCTGACGAAGGATGTCTATTAAATCAGATATTCAGATCAGTAATTCTGATAATTTACCAGTAAAGTGTATACTTAGTTTTTATATAAGTAGTTGTTGTTATTCACTTTGATGAAGACGTAATTTGAAGCTGTTTGTTTGAGCGCGTTAATATCCAGATCTGATTCGAATTAAACAATTATTTTTGTGTTGGATAGTCTATATCCATATGTATTTATCGGAGAAGGCTAATTAATAAGATTATAAAACTTCACACTATAAGCAGCGGGTGAAGCTTGTATTTAATGTACACTAAACCATGTTTCTCTGAACCCTACTTTCTCCACAAACGCATTATTCGCAGGAGATAAAGAACTTACTTACATAATATTTGTATAGACGTTAAAAAATCGCAAGTCGTGCTCTGTCTGACTGTTGGCCAAACATTCATCACGATTCTGTCAAGAACATGTTAATTCATTATTATATTATGTAGCTATGCGTGTTTGTCTAGTAGACAATAAGCTATATAATTTGACGTAATTAATTGAATACTTGACAATTGATTAAATTTAATACTTATTTAGTAGTTAATATTTTTTTACATTATTTTTTTAATGGAGCGTGTTGGTTTTAATTTCAATAATGTTAATGTTGACCTCTGCGTCGCCTGGTATTAAACAATGATTTGACAATTATTGAGCACGAACGCCTTTTCAATCAGGATTTAAAAACACTGTGGTTTCATAGTTTTGGGAATATTTGTTTCATTTTTGATTGCCATTATATAGACTTGTTACTGTTAATTTGTAAAAGAAACGAAGATACGTGCACAGCTGGTTGTATATGCGTATATATAACAAAGCTTGTGTTGTCTTTCGCCGCGTGAGTAAAGTAACCGGAGGCTGAACTAAACCTTCCTCCCCTCATCCACAATCCTCAAAACCCTTTCAACCCACAAAAGACCAGCATCGCAATTGTAATTTTTTTGGTGTTTTGGATATTAATAGGCGGCGCCATTTGCTTACCATCAGGTGATCAGATGGAAAAATAAAGTGAATTTGCAATTATTCTAAAAGCACCCAAGTTAAACGAGAAAATATGTATTTAAGTGTGGGAGATGCTTCGGCACGAATGGGTCACCTCGATCGAAGCGATACCACGGCCTTACAGAAAATCGGCGTGAAACAACCACAGCGTTGTGTTTCGCCGTGTGAGTGAGGTTACCGGAGGGCCAATCCTTCCCCTTCCTCAATCCCTCCCCAGTCCCTAAATATCCAAATCCCTAATCCCTAATCCCGACAACGCACTCGTAACTCCTCCGTTGCGGCGGAGGAGTTACGGGTCCATGGGCAGCGCTGATTGCTTACCATCAGATAATCCTTCTACTCGTTTGCTGACCTATTACATAAAAAAATACTATTAAAGGGTCAAACAAAGAGTAGGGTTTCTTACACAAAGATGGAAGTTCTTTGATGAAATATTTTTCTGACTTCTTTTACAATATTAAAGTTGAATGAAAGTAGTATCACAAGTATATTATTTAATAATTGAAACCAATTACTTCATGGTAAAACACTAAAATTTAATATTACATACATAATAATTATATATTATCAATAGACCCCGAGGCTTTTATAAAACAAAATTGTAATTATAATTTAATAACTAGAACATTGTGTTGCAATCATAAGTTAACTTTAACAAATCGAGTTTAAAATGTTACTTGTTTATTAACTGCCATACTCAGAAACATTTAACAATTACTTAAACTAATCTTAAGTAACAATTTCATTCCGAAAACGATTTAAAACAATGACTTTTTTTAATCTGCTCTGGCCCAGTGTGTGGTGAGAGTGAGTCTCAGATTATTTCTGACTAAAAAGAAGATACGGGTTGGCCGTTCCTTCCCTGCTCCAAATCCTATGGTGGGATAACAGAAACAATTAACTATTTATAAAATTCATTTTTACCAATTTTGTTGAGTTCAATGTAAAAGTAGCGCCATCTATCCTCGACTAACGATATTAAAATACTGTGAATAACACTATCAATTTACTTGCTCTCACGCTGACACCTAGTGTAAAATGAATACTTTGAGTTATTGTACGTACGTAAATAGTAATAAATTCAGCAATATATTATATATTTTAGTTTTTAAATGAGATGATTAGTCCTACTAACATTATAAATGTGGAAGTTTGTGAGAATGTATGGATTTGTGTTTGTTATTATTTCAAGCAAAAATGGTTGGACCGATTGGATTGGTTAAAAGTTGAAGTATTTTACAGGTGATACCCTGGATTAACACAGAGCTTTCTTTTTAACACAACACGCGGGTGGATTGTAGTGGTGGTGCTCGTTCACTGACCCTTTCCACCCCCTGCTTAATCTAGCCCTCCAACAGTGTAGTCATTTTAACCAAATCAATATTAAGTCCTATCTTTCTTACATCCATGTTTCAAATACACAGCCACTTGTGTTTGAAATTGCGCTTGCGCAAGAGTTACAATTATTATCTATAATTGGCTACCTATAATCGCCTGCAACTATTTTATTGAACCTAAAACTAGACGTGCTGAAATAAAATTACTTGTTGTTTACTAAACAAAAATTAATAACTTTTTAAGCCTTAACATCCATTAATGTTTTATTATAACTACATACGAATAAAAAAAATATAAGTATAAATAGATTTTTAAGTTTTTAAATAAAATTCAACTTACAATATTTAATTATTAAGTCGAAGAAAAATTTAAAAAGTATCCTTTGATTTTCGATTTTATTTATACAAAAAGTTATTCTGACTATTAAATTGTAAGAATTTGATTAAAACATGCTTGATTCTATTTACTATATGACCTTCACTCGCCAAACATACAGCTAAAGCTTCTTATTAGTTTCATGTTTTGTAAGTAGATGGCGTTATCCATATAGTTTGTTATTATAAGGTCGAGCGTACTGGACATTAAATTAATAAGTAGAATTGAAATAAATTAATAAATATTTAGTATATAATGCACGTTTCATTTAACAATGATTATTAGCATGCTAAACATTTTCACGTACCCACATTTGTATTTACCGGCAACATTTAAGTTTCCTGCTTCTTAGTAGAAGTGAATACTGAGTTTAATTCGAGTTAGTACTTAATACTATTATGTTTGGAATGGATATGTTCTTTTAACGATCATCAACATTACATTACTTTTACATTGCCTTCCACTAAGATTTACTCTTGTGTATCATCATCATGTCTCATATCATCATACCTTTACAAACATGCAACATAACGTACACATTACACTCAGCCCTGAAAGTAAAATTTGTGGATCACAAGAAGACTTGTTCCATGGGGAATTGATCCAGCGAAACCCAGTACAGCAGTTAATCGTCCAGTCGCTTTGCCACTCGTGGGGTTTTGGGTCAATCTACCTGGGGTTTTGATTCAAGCACAATAATATACCGTGGCCCCGGCCAGGAGCAGGAGAAAGAACGGAGTGGTTATTAGTCAGTAAGAGTTGTCAGTCTCTTACACTTGAGCAGGCCCGCTCTCATGCCTCGCTCAAGGCGGAAGAAATTACTTGACGATTTTCACCTCTCAAAAAATAAGAGTTTGTCTACAAATAAGATAAGGGAACTACTTCTGTTCTACTTCTACTTCTGTCTAAGGATATGTTGCCTGTTCTTTTCTATTTATTCTAACGTGGTCAGTTCTCAGACAGAGTGAAAATAATCTTAGTTTTTAATTCAATAAGACTTTTTAGATGTTATTTATGGCGACGAGATCAATTAACAGGTGACATTTAGGATAGAAAATTCCATCATATAATACTGTTGGGCACGATTGCTTTATCACCTTGTTTAGTCGAAACATTTTCCTTTTCCGATCCTACTGGACTAAACAGTCTGTTCCCTAAAGTGATTGGAAGCAGCCATCATTGAAGATATTTTAACTTTATTAATCCTAACTCAATATTGTACATCAAGCACTTTCATCTTTCTATAAGGTTCAATATTTGAATGGATCGATGATGCGGTATTGTGGAATAAATAACACACATATTTTTCTTATTATTATTTATTAATTACATAACTAATATCTTAATAAGTATGACACAGTTTACGCCTTCTTCGGTTTGCTCTTTTCAAAAGTCTGGCCCTCGTAGTAGTTTTCACTGAAACAAAAAAAAATTGACAGGATCACAATAAAACTTACAAATTTTTACTTATACCAAGCCAAGTTTCTTTTTAAATATATCCCAACACGATCAATTTTAAACATATTAAAAATTGAATTCTATTGTCCCTTTTCAGATTCCTTATTAACAAATTTAACGTTTTTATCAACCATACCAATTTATTAGGAAAAATCGGAAACTGCTAATAATAAACTCATCCTTACCATCCCTGAACCTTCTCAGGGTCATCACACATGAAGGTGTCCTCGTTGTAGACCTTGCCAAGAGGGCAGAGACCCTTCTGGGGCTGGACTCCGTTACGGCAAATGTAGAATTTCTGGCAGTCTTCTGGGTGAGGGAAGGTTGGGTGGGGGAGTGCACGGCCATTGGGTCCCATCACTTCACCATCGGGGCAGGAGAAACCGTCGTCCAGCAGATCTGGAAGTTTAAACATACTTTGTCTTCACAAATGATGTCCAGGATTGTGTCTTCTTTTGGAGTGAATTTCTAGTGACAATTTCTCTACTTTGATCATTATTTAAATAAATAACATAGTATTTTAATAGCAATGAGCATAAAACTTATTAACAAGAATTTATTTCTTACTAAAATTTTGATCTCGAACAATAGCTTTTTTTTATTTACGGCTAAACAAAATTCTGAACTAGCTTACCCTTGGTGATGTGATCACATTGCCTGTTGACAACATCTTTCCAGTCGCAGTTGGAAGTCTCCTCGTCGAAGTAGAGGCCGGGGGGGCAGGGCATCTCGTTGGGGGTACCGTCTGAGCAGTAGTAGAACTTGTCACAGGCCTGGAAAAGAAAAAATGGGCCGAAATTAAGCAAAGTTGAACATTCCAGTTAAAATAAAAAAAAATTGTATGCGTTTAAAAACATACAATTTCACATACACATCACACTCAGACCCGGAACAACAATTGGTGGTTCACACAAAGAGTTGTGCCGTGCGGGAACCGAATCCGCGACACGTTCCGCGGCAGCCAGTTGCCCAGCCACCGCGCCAACCATGCAGTCAAAAGTCAATTCATTGAAAGCATGGTACTCTCATTAAAACTAAAAACGTGATTTGATTTGAGTTTACGGCATTAATGAATCTTAAAAGCGCTACGACTACGAATAAACTCATCGGCCATTTACGATGGATGAGTTTTAATGAGTAGTCAACATAGTCAATATCTCATTTATCTAAAATGATAGTACCTAATATGAGTTTTATTACATATCATAATGTTCAACTCCGAACTGTTTCCGTTCATTGCCCTTTGCATAACATTACTTTACAAAATGTTAGTTGCCGCATTGGTTAGTTGCACAACACGTACCTGAGGGTCGGGATGTTTGAAATATCCGTTCTGTCTGGGGCAGCCTTTAGTTGGTTTCGGTTCCTCTGTAGAAAATAGAAAACAGAATTTTAAACACTTGCAACGCGTCGATTAAAGACGTTGATATAAATATTGATAAAATAATAATTAGACTTATATGTGATGATAAATTATTGTTTTTTGCTTTGTTGTCGTCTGATAGTAGAGAGTAGAATTTACTTAAATAGACTTCATATCATAAAAAACCTACATATTTAAAAGTTATGATGAAATCCAACAAGCCTCCTAAGCGTTTTGCTGAAATGCTAGGACGAATATCACAGCAGTAGTTTAGTGGTATATGCCAGCAGTAACTGCCAAGATTATGACAAACGAATATTCCAATTGTAGATTGTAGCCTGCTGTGACATTATTTTATTGTACATGCCTTAATTTTGTGATTATTATACTTACGCAGCTCCTTCCTGTCACCGCAATCTACGTTGGATGGGATGTCACATCGCTCCTTGTTGGGGTTCTCGTCAGAGAAGACCAGACCGTCAGGGCACAGTCTAGCTTCCGAGACACCTATGTAGATATAAAAGAATTTTTATATAATTGTTTATTTATCCTCATATTATAAATGTAAAGTTTGTGAGAATCTATGGACGTGCATATGTTTGTTATTAATTTACGCAAAAACGTATAGACCGATTTGGTTAAAATTTGATGTCTTACATAGATAAGTGACACCCTGATTAAACTTATAGGCTACTTATATCCACAACGCGGGCAAAACCACGCGGGGAAAATAAACTATAAAAAGAAAAAGCAGATCCTGTATACCTCTTCGTCGACAGGACCAGGGTAAAAATAACTCATTTGTGTTTCATCCAGATCGTTAAGTAGATTTATGTGAATCAAAAAACTACAAAATAAAAAATACGTGTTCTTTTTCTACTATTTTATACACAGACTACTTACATATTTTTAATTTCATACCCTACCACTATCCCGAATGGTGGAAAATTCCACAAACAAATATACATGTCATAAATAAATAATTAAACTAATCACACATTTATTTATGTAATGTTTGCACATCGTCAGATACTGACTTGACTATAAATAGACTTCTTATTAGGTAATATGTCACACCAAAAAATACATAATATTACTACCTCTCATTTAAACACTACAATTATGTATTTATTACTGACTTTCACTTTCCAAAACTTTTAACTGCAAACATCTTAATTTGCCTTGAAAATGTTTTAATAATAGAAATCTTTTTAACATTCCCTCTGCATGTGCCTTACATTCTCCTCTGTGAGTAGAAACCGAGAGAAATGGTGCTTTGTATAAATTAGAAAATTCAATTACCTAATCGGTGATGGATAGTGTACAGGTCTACTTGCTTAGCAGTTTATAGTTCCACTATCTAGTAACAATCTTGAACCAGTTCCACACGTAATACACTAACAATTACACTTTAGGATATCCTCCTATCTTGTAGTTATATACAACTCTATCATGGTGATGCACTGCTATGAAACTACTGTAAGCGGAAAATTTCCATAAAATGAAGTTTTTTGCCCCTATCTATGATTAACAGGAAAGTATAAGAGGACTTTATACCTCTTTCTGAGTAAAAAACCACACTTGTGTTTCGCCGTGTGAGTTTGAGTGCGAGTTTTCAGAAGTCATCCTAATTCCTAAGCCCCAAATCTAAGAATCCCTAAAAGACAAACCACTTGTAACTTCTTCGGCATTGCAGGCAAAAAAACACGTCTGCTCGTTTGCCTCAAAAATGTATATATCACTAAAACTGGTTTGGGGGAATAAGATTTGTGTGAAATCTCAAGTATACTTTTAAATTTAATTAACAATCTCAATTCCTACATAATTATCAACATGTTTAATTTACAGCCGTATCCACCTTAAATAACATAATTC